TATAAAATATCCTAAAGTAACTCGAGTTCTACATCATTTTCTTCAGAAGAAAGCGAGCACAGCAATGAGCTCAGCAAAAAGCACTCTATATTCTTCAGATCCGACAAAATCGGCATTTTCTGTTGATTTTGAGTCGTTTTAGCGCGGTTTCGACTTTTAACCGACAATAACTCCCTAATACAAACACATAAACTTTAAATATGCACATTGAGAAGCTTCTTATGCCGGAAACAACCCAATGAGCACAAAAAACGCGATTGTGAATTTTTGCTTTTTGGGCGAAATTTTCATATCTATCTATTCAATTTTTTCGAAAAATGTCTCAAAACGCTTGGAATTTTGAAAAATGTTTGTCAGAGAAGAGTGAGGAATTCAACGAACTTGATGTAGTACTCATTGACGATAACTCCCTAGTACACACGTAAAAACTTTAAATATGCACATTGAGAAGCTTCTTATTGCGGAAACAATCCGATATGCACAAAGAACACGATTGTGGAATTTTGATTTTTGGGCGAAATTTTCTAAGGGTATCTAAGGGTGAGGGTCGATTTTTTCGAAAAATATAAAATCTCCCAAAATGCCTCAAATTTTACCTTATTTTCATCAGAGAGAAAAGAGGAAGGCAACGAGCTCAGTAAAAATCTCTAGATCCTACAGATCCGAAATAATCAACATTTTCTGTCCATTTTGAGGGTTTTTCCTCCGAAAAACCTTCTAGTTGGGCCCATATGGATTGGAAAATGTTCGAACAAAGTCCAAACGCGACTGCAAATAGTGCGCAACTAAAATTTTCCAGGGCCTACAAACTTTGATAAACATTCGACTCAAGCAGCCTACAAAAGCGAGACTTAGCTACTAACTGTGCCTTCAACTTCTTCACAACAACCCCAGAATCTTGCACAATTCTACAAGATAGATTCTTCTCTCTTTGAGTGATGATGAGCGAAAAAAACACCTCAAATCATCTCGCATCAATGAAACAACCTCTCAATCCTCAACTTACCATCAATACAGTTGCAACCATCGCAGCGTTGTCCCAAATGGGCGCAGTCGTGATCGCCCTGACACTGGCAAACTGAAAACCGACAAATCCTAAGTTTAGGGGGAAATTTTCGAGCTGCACCTCATACCTTTCACACAGACTGGTTGGTGTGCCTGCACTTGGCAGTCTTGTGAGTTGGTGCAGGGGTTCGAAGCAAGGCATGGGTTCAAACACTTCCGATTGATGCATGCTTGTTGAGCGGTGCAGTCCGAATGCGATCGACATTGGATATCTAAATGAATGCGACAGTTCATATGCCATTTGCTGGATGGGTGCATGATGCCGATTTTCATATACCTAGTAGGTAGTAGGTAAAGCGGCGCCCATCACCCCCGAGTAAGCAATACGATCAAGCATAGAGGACTATATACATATGTACAAGAAATGTTGGGGGGAGGGTTCTGACTATGTGCTCTACCATTCATCTACTAGCCACTGCTTGGTGGTGTGGTGATTCTTACCGGCGTTGCTCTGGGAGGGGCGAATATGAGTAGGAACCTGGGGGGTGGAGGTAGCAGGAAAGGCGCTGGGGGCGCTTGGATGCAGGCGCCAACGGTTCTCTGGGGAGTCTTCCTGCATCCATGCGCCGGAGGTTTTAGTGGGGACGCAGAGAAACTGGGGTTAATCATCGGAAACGAATTAAGGTCCTAACAGAGCCCCTATGAGCAGAGAAGTAGAACCGTTAAAGCCAATGATGGGAGCATGGAGACAACATCCTGACTGATGTTGCTTGACCTCTATCCAGTTGTAGGTACATTTATGCTGGGATGAAAGGCACAGAAACGCCGTAGGTAGCATAGAGAAGGTTGATTACTGCATAGTAGACCGAAAGCAACGAGGTCATTGTTTTCGAATTGCCTGACGTCAAGCACTAAATTCCTTGAACCCGGTTTATCTTTACCTTTGAAGCATCCAAACTTCGGGTCTTGTTTATATCCTGGGGGACAAAACTGGCAAATGGGTTTATGGTCTTCCACTCGGCATGGGGTATTTGCCGGACAGTTAGCCGAATCGCATGGGTTTTCGCATCGGAACGCCCGACAGGCTTGATCTGAGGGACAGCCGTTATCTCGCAGGCAAATCGAAAGTGAGGGACTACAGTTTTTCAGGCAGATGCAATTCGGCTTGTGGTTCAGCACGTCGCAGCCCTTATCTGGGGCGCATGGCGGCACCAAGCTGGCCGTGCAAGGGTTTTGGCACAGCTGGTCTATGCAGGCTTTATTGCCCGGACAGTGATCGTCCGTCTGGCACTCGGAGCGCTCAGGCCCGCAGGAGATCTCCCCTCTTTCGTTCACCAGGAAGCCGTTCTTGCACACGCAGGTGGGCTTGTGGTGGTGCACCTCGCATCTCTTATTCTCCCTGCATTTAATGCTGCTGCTTGCGCAGGGATTGAAACACTTGCCGGTGCTCGTGCGGCAGGCCAACTGCGGCTCGCAATCCGCATCGGCAAAGCAAACCGCTTGGCCAGCAGGCCTGGGCTGAGTGTTTAGGCAATTGGGGTCTGGATGGCAAGCAGTGTTCGCACTACCGATGTGACATTCGGGGCACGTGCATCGAGGCCGATGTTGAATCGTTTTACAAAGGGCGTTTTCCCCACAGGCCCCCCTTAAACTACAAGGGTTCACGCACTGGAAGTTGATGCAAGCTTTCTGGTCGGAGCAGTCTAGGTCATTGTTACATTCGGCAGCTAAAGGGTCGCAGGACAAAAGAAAAGAAAGCTTTTAGAGAAACCGTGAAAGGAAGTTTCTATCACAAAACACAACAATCGCATGCGGGTGTGACCAGGACAGTCAGAGGATGAGAGAAATGAAAGAGGCCATCTCAACACGACCGTACAAGCTGCAGGTATTTACAAGCTTATGCTAGGAGCCAATGCTAATTTACACACATTTCCGAGAAATAATCAAACAATGTGAGAATGCTCCTTTCATAGTTCCCAATCTGACGTATCATCCATCATACCCGCAGCGCGCAATCAAAAATCGCGCACTAAACATTCATGGCCAAAAACATGTTTGAAACGATTCATTGAGTGTGTGTGTGGAATGTGATGATTGGGTGAATCAGGGGCTGATGTTGATTGATTTGGGAATATTTGTGACGGACAGATTGGAACCCTGAAGTGTACATTCCACATGAGAGGTGTTGCCTATACGTTTGCGATAAATACAATATTTACAAAGTTTTCACACTACCTAAACCATAACTTCAAAGTACATGTTCGTCTCGATCTTATATAGCCGGGGTGTTTTTACATTGCTGAATTTTCACATCAAATTCAACGGTTTTCCATTGTCAACCACCAGAAACTCGTAGATTCTTTAATCATGCGACGCAGTGAGCCCAAACGTTGTTGAAGTCGACCACCTTTTCTTCACACGGCAAATTCGGTTCAGGATTTTTAAATGGCGCAGTCGGTAGCAACGGATTCGGACCATTGAGTTTTCTCAATTTTATCAATTTTCACCCAAGCGAAGCTAAAAGCCAATTTTCCCAAAAAAATGCTTTCAAGTTTGCATGCATCCGTTCATACGATGGTACGATGATACGAAAGTGTTTCTATTGGTTGGAGATCTGTAAATTCGCACTCCGTCGTACGAAAATGGACAGAAAATGTTGATTATTTCGAATCTGAAGAATCTAGAGATTTTTACTGAGCTCGTTGCCTTCCTCTTTTCTCTCTGATGAAAATGAGGTAAACTTTGATGCGTTTTGGGAGATTTTATATTTTTCGAAACAATCGAYCCTCACCCTTAGATACCCTTAGAAAATTTCGCCCAAAAATCAAAATTCCACGATCGTGTTCTTTGTGCTTATCGGATTGTTTCCGCAATAAGAAGCTTCTCAATGTGCATATTTAAAGTTTTTACGTGTGTACTAGGGAGTTATCGTCACTGAGTACTACATCGAGTTCGTTGAATTCCTCACTCTTCTCTGACAAAAAATTTTCAAAATTCCAAGCGTTTTGAGACATTTTTCGAAAAAATTGACCCTCACCCTTAGATACCCTTAGAAAATTTCGCCGAAAAATCGAAATTCCACAATCGTGTTCTTTGTGCTTATCGGATTGTTTCCGCAATAAGAAGCTTCTCAATGTGCATATTTAAAGTTTTTACGTGTGCACTAGAGAGTTATCGTTACTGAGTACTACATCGAGTTCGTTGAATTCCTCACTCTTCTCTGACAAAAATTTTTCAAAATTCCAAGCGTTTTGAGACATTTTTCGAAAAAATTGATCCTCACCCTTAGATAGATATGAAAATTGCGCCCAAAAAGCAAAATTTCACAATCGCGTTTTTTATGCTCATTGGGTTGTTTCCGACATAAGAAGCTTCTCAATGTGCATATTTAAAGTTTATGTGTTTGCATTAGGGAGTTATCGTCGGTTAAAAGTCAAAACCGCGCTAAAACGACTCAAAATCAACAGAAAACGTCGATTTTTTCGGATCTGAAGAATATAGAGTGATTTTTGCTGAGCTCCTTGCTGTGCTCGCTTTCTTCTGAAGAAATTGATGTAGAACTCGAGTTACTTTAGGATATTTCATATTTTTCGAAAAAATCGTGTTTTCCTCATGAAAATTTCGCCCAAAAATCAAAATTCCACAATCGCGTTTTTTGTGCTTATCGGATTGTTTCCGCCATAAGAAGCTTCTCAATGTGCATATGTAAAGTTTTTGCGTGTGTACTAGGGAGTTTTCGTCGGTTAAAAGTCGTAACCGCGCTAAAACGATTGAAAATCAACAGAAAATGTCGATTTTGTCGGATCTAAAGAATCTAAAGTGTTTTTACTGAGATCGTTGAATTCCCCACTTTTCTCTGATAAAAATTTTTCTAAATTTGAAGCGTTTTCGAACATTTTTCATTTTTCGACCTTCGATAGGTATGAAAATTTCGCCCAAAAGCAAAATTTCACAATCGCGTTTTTTGTGCTCTTTGGGTTGTTTCAGACGTAAGAAGCTTCTCAATGTGCATATTTAAAGTTTATGTGTTTTCATTAGGGAGTTATCGTCGGTTAAAAGTYGTAACCGTGCTAAAACGACTCAAAATCAACAGAAAATGTCGATTTTGTCGGATCTGAAGAATATAGAGTGCTTTTTRACAGATCTCCAACCAATAGAAACACTTTCGTATCATCGTWCYATCGTATAAACARATGCATGGGACWCAGGCTTCAATTGCAATGGGCGGGCTCRAAAATTTGTTTACGACACGCGCAGTTTAAGTGCGCAAATCGCAAAATCGYGCGCTCAGATTGGCAAGGRTYTGTGYCGATTTACCAATCAATTCTCACACGATTSTGATTGGGACTGTTTTGGGCCAATGCGCGTCAGCTGGAAGGCGTTCTGGAGCTGAAATGTATTTCATTGGTTCACCCGGAATGGACGGTCTCAAACCCGGCCAATCAGTTTGCACGCATTTTTAACGTGTGTTTCCTTGACTGTGGAAAATTGCCAAAAATCGACTCGACTGTTTAAAAGTATTTCTCTATTCAAGCGCATCTAAAGGAAGTTTGTAGGTGATTTTCATGGGATTTTTTTTTGGAAAGCCGTCCAGCCTGATGAGTGTGAGAGGAAATGCAGTGTGCAGCTCGCAACTTAAAAAAATTGCCAAAAATCCAGGAAAATCACGAAGGGAAAATAAATTTCCATATTAACAGGCCTGAGAATTCTTCCAAAAGAGTGACAAAGCGAAAAGCAGTAACAATTCAAAAAACCGCTCAAAACGTATGAGAATCGGGAGTAAATGGAAACTTTTTATAAGGAAATTTTGGATAACCGCCCAACTTGCGGAATGTGACGCAAGTTTATATGCAACATACAATTTAAAAATTGAAAAAAGAGGAGAAACATTGAGAGTAAAGTGTGACTTGAGCATGTAACCCGAGTACATCGCACCATTTGCATTTAAAAATTTTCAAAAATCGCGAATAAATCGACACTTACTGAGGAAATAGAAGGAAAACTTCCCAACGATTGGAATTGGGAGGGAGTTCGAGTTTCAAAGTGAGGCCTGCAAAATATCAGTTGCTAATAATGCGAGCGACACTATTGAAAAAGTTGCACAAAGTCTACGCTAATCGCAAACAAAACGGGGCTCACACCACTTATAGTCTGGATATTTGCCTATCCAATGAACCATAAGCCTGTCTTGGGCCTATTCTGGATTTTGATTGGGGAATTTTTGAAAGCAAGTCGTTCATGYCGGATGGARCCGCAAATAGAACGCGTCAACCACATTGGAAAAATTGCATTGAATYGRCGAAAATGGCCAGAAAATGTTTGCTCTTGCAGACTTCAACAGGTTCGCTTAGGTTCTTTTCCGTCGATGGAAACTCATTRGGAARTTATATTGSGATTTGATGGCAAAGTMCATGGTTTTCTACTGAKCAAMKTCCAAAAACTCGAARATTCTTTARTSACYWGAACAGTGARTGCAAATKTTGTTGAAACTSAACTAGACGATGCCAGWTTCTGYWKTTTTTTACAGGGAAATTCGATTCAGGAATTGGCGCAGTCGGTAGCAAGGGAYTCARACCATTGMGTTAGYCCAAATCKTAAKWTTTWCYWRTMAAKTTKCACCSAAASGGAGGCTTTTAGAGCTAAAMSCCAATTTTYCCAGAAAATATGCYTTAAAGTTTTCRAATTTTCSCTMGCTGGAACGTGAGAAATCCTGAAYTTCAGCCGGCCAATACAGTAAATTGCAAGGGGCGGGCTCGAAAATTTGTTTACGACACGCGCAGTTTAAGTGCGCAAATCGCAAAATCGCGCGCTCAGATTGGCAAGGATTTGTGCCGATTTACCAATCAATTCTCACACGATTCTGATTGGGACTGTTTTGGGCCAATGCGCGTCAGCTGGAAGGCGTTCTGGAGCTGAAATGTATTTCATTGGTTCACCCGGAATGGACGGTCTCAAGCCCGGCCAATCAGTTTGCACGCATTTTTACCAGTCTAGTGAAACTCAATTAGAGCAAGTATGACTGACTTGAGCATGTGACTCAAGTAAGTCGCACCATTTGCAATTAAAATTTTTGGAAAATCGAAAGAAAGTCGCGAATCAGTCGACACTTACTGAGGCAATAGAAGGAACGTTTCCCAGTGATTGGGCCAACAACGCCGCCTTCTAGCTTAAGCTGATTTTAACCGGGGGAGTTTTGAACAGAATCCAATCTGCCCCAAGTTGAAAGCGATTTACACCCCATAAACAGTTGCAGGGGCGACCAAAAACTTGAGCAAATTGAAACTTTACAGGACCGACAGAGTATTTGATATGTAAAAATAAGTCCTTCACGAACAGTTGGCGCTCACTGCAGGTGCTCAACTACTTCAGTTCTATAAATTGTGCCATTTTTTAGCGAATTTGATGTGATAACTCATGCCTAAAGTGCCTGACGGAGTAAAGTAATCGGTCGCGAAGTAAGCCTGTTTGTACTGTATACAAAACAATCTATAGAAAGCACAGAAACAAAAAACAAAGTCTCGTCTACATCAATCTCTGGCTTACCCTTACGGCATTCGACTTCGGCAGCGCCCGAAAATCCGGGCTTGCAACGACAGACAAAGAATGCCTGTTCCCTTATGCATTCCGCATTCTTACCACACCCGTCTGTTCTGCAGTCCAGGGCGCTGCGATCTAAGGAACCTAAAAACCAGCCCATTTTTTCAGTGATTTTATTGCCAAGTTGGTGTTTTGTCGAGTAATACTCACATTCAATCGTTGGATCTCCGGCGGGCTTATTGGACGGACAGACACACTGCGGCTTGCCGCTCAACGCTTTGCAAATCGCTCCCACCCCACACCGGGTGTTCCTGCAAATGTTCACAGTTTTCTCGTCGCAATCGCATCCTCTATAAGCATCGCCCAAGCATCCAGGCAAGCATGTGCAGTCGAAGCCGTTATCCGGCAGGTCTTTGCATTTAGCGTTGTGTCCGCAGGGGCTCTTCATGCAGGCCTGAGCGCCTCCTTGCTGGCATCCCACCAAAGCGTTCCCAACATATCCAGGCGGGCACGAGCAGGACGCCCTTCTGTCGATGATTTTACATTGAGCATTGGCGCCGCAGGCGTCCTTCTCCAAGCACGGGTTAATGCAGATGCCGTCCCTGCCGCACTTCTTGCTCGGCTCGCATTGTTTATGGTCTTTGCATTGGTATGGGGAGCACAAGGCGGTCGGGTCCCCTTGATACCCATCGGGACAGAGGCAAAGCTTGCGATGATCCGACACCCTGCAGATGGCGTTCTTCCCGCAGGCGAACGGTTGCTTGCACACGTTCAAGCACTTGCCCTTCTTGCACGCTTCCGCATTGGCGCAGTCCGCATCGGATCGGCAGCCGGGCATGCAGGCGCCGTTGGCGCAGATCTGCCCTTGGGCGCACCCCAACTGCGGCGAACAGCTGTTCCTGCATTGGCCGTGGGCGCAGGTTTCACCGCAGGCGCAGTCCGCCGCTGTTCTGCACTTCTTCGTGCAGTAGCCGGCTTCGTCGCAATCGCAGTGGTCGTTGCATTTGGTCGCTGCTTGCACGCAGGAAATGAGCGGATCGCCCAGGAAGTTTGCTGGGCAGCTGCACTGCGCCAGATGGTTCTTTACGTTGCATTTGGCGCAGACTCCGCACGTTGCAAAGCCGTCGCATGGATCTGAAGCGGAAAGCGAGAAAATCAACCACTGAAGCTACTGAAGTGTTAGTATTTGACGCACGAACTATTTTAAGACAATGCCAGCTCATACAGGGTGTCCCGAAATTTC